GTAGATAACTATGGATGAAAAGGGTGCTAACACATTTCCTTTTCATAACCTTCCCCCCGAATTCAGAAAATTCTCGAAGGTCTTTCTTGTTCTTTTCACCCTTTCCTTATTGGATAAAAGAAAAGTCGGTGGTGACTCTTGATATCCGCAACATTTGCGATAAAACTGAAAACCAAGTCAGTACTCTCACCGTATTACTGAACTGGCGACTCTGTTGGGGAGAACTAAAGGTGGGGTTACCTTAGAGTTAGATAACATTTTAAAAGCTTTACTTACTTGATTTGTATGCTTTACATTTCGGGGTTTTGCTCGGGTTTATTTTTGTAAAGATCATATACCCAGATCTGGGGGTATTTTAGGTAAGTAGCAATAGATCGTGGAAACTGTATGGTGTAGACCGATATGGTTGAAACGTTGGCTATGTTAGTGCGACACATTGGTTGGTGTCGGTGTCCCTTAATTCAGTCAAGGAGAATGTTGAGCTAACGCGTGGTGTCATAAGCACTAACTAACCTTAGAACCTTAGTTGACACAACTTAGCCATTAGAAAGTAGTGAGATGGATGACTTTGGTGTAGACTGAAGTTGGTTGATACTCGATACTACACTCATTGAGATCAGACTCTCGGGATATTTCGGTCGCAAATCAGATGTTGTGCTGAAACAGTGCTTGAGAGAAAGATCGGTGATATTGACACCACTACGCCAAATAAGCTATTTAATAGCGCTTTTTTTTGTTTTTGATAGCGCTTAAAAGTGCTATTAACCGCGCCACTATTGTAAATATTTCTTATTTAATAGCACTTTAAAAGCGCTATTAAAGTACCAATTTATAATAGCGTTTTAATTAAAGTGCTATCAAAGTCAGTATTTTGCATGTTTTTTGTTTGTTTTTTTATAGCACTCTAAACAAAAAGCGCTAATATATAACATATGTTTGATAGCGCTTTCAAATAAAGTGCTAATAAATGGTACATATTTGGTACAATATTTTTAATAAGTACAGTACAATACTTTTTCTTACACAATCATTTTTTTTGGTGTAAATATAAAATAACTATATTCAATTCAACACAAATAACGCTTTAAGTTACTCATTGCATATATATTATGATCCATCAAATACCAAATAACATTTTAAATTACCAAATCCTATTGTTTTCAAATATCATAACATATAGAATATTAAGAGGGCGTTTGCATAGCCAAATTTGTAGATGCCCATCTATGAGTACTTCAATCCAAATCCAAAAACATACAATCAAATTCTCTAAACAATTGTGATCAAGAATCTCCTTTATACTCTCTACACGTAGTTGCTCTAAAAACTAACTAAGACTCAATTAAGACACAATTAATTAAGGAAAATCGAGTTTAATGACTTCAAACTAACTAACAAAATACAAATTCGGTAACAATGATGAGTATAGAAAAAGTGTCACATCTATAATGTGAGCATTTTGGAAATAACATCTATAGTGTCACATCTAAAATTCGACTTACACATTGATCCACAACTCTTTGAACATTCTCATTATCAATCACCCCGCTCTTATTGACGCGGGCAGCCTTCCACACTTGACTACGGTTTATCTCACCAACTTCTGACTCTTCTACCTGTATATACATTTTTACAAATTAACATCTGACCCAACTCCTCTCGCAGCTCACGATAGCTGTTGAACCGAGAGATGTCAAGTGAACGACCAACCGAACCCGATTTGTAAACCTGTGAAAAGATAAAATTAAACTACTGAATTCAATTGAAGGACAGAAAAAGCTGCACGGATCATACCTTCACAAATGTTGGGTTCTGGTTTTGTGGGTCGCTTTGCTCTGCATTTTGCAAAAATGAAGATGAATCTTGCATGCAGGCGTATAGAGAACTCTGAAATCCCGACTCCCCTAACTGCATCGTTGACGCACCAGTGTCAGCAGACGAAGTGGTGTAACCTTGGACAGTGGTGGGGAGTAGAAGGCCAGATGAATCAATATTGACACCCGAGAGAGTATGGTTTTGCGTATCTGAATCACAATGTGGCACCACTGCCAAATCTTTTCCAGAAAATTGTGCATGAGACATTGTGTTGCTAAACGCGTTGACCTGCATATTCCCATACTTCTGAGTCCATGATTGTTGGGGTAACTGTTCGGTCATCAACGACTGACCGCTTCTGGATAGACTTGATAGATTCAAGAGATTGCCAGTTCCTTCATTGCAAAGCGAACCAAGCATGTTTTGTCCGGAGGAAGCCGAAGCAGGAAACTTCAAGTTTGAATCCAGGAAATCTTGTTTTGTATACGATGGTGATGGCGCATTGGACTGTTGTTGTTGTCGCTGATGGAGTTGATCATTTTGAATAAGAAGTGTATCTTGATAACCATGTTGCTGCTGTTGACCTTGGACTTCTTGATTGTTATTTGTTTTCTGAAGGAGGTGCTGAGACAGGTTTTCAGTAAGCACTTGGCCTTGTGGTTGCATCATATTAGAGGACACTGATTGTGGAATTGCGTGTGGTTGCTGAAGTTGCAAAGGCGAATTATTGTTTCCAGACTGAAGGTACTGGATAGGCTGTTGTTGAAAATTCATCATTTGTGGCCTCATGAGATATCCACTACCCATATTCTGCATTCCAGCTGCCGCCAACATGGCTTGATATTGTTGATTATGATCGTTTCCGAGTAAAGTTGGATCTAGTCTCTGCTGCATCCATGGTAACATGCCACCAGCACCTTGAAAATTAAGAGAATTGAGACCTTGGTCTGCAGGTCCACCTCTCATCCACATCAGACCATTTGCCACATCATCTCTTCCATCTGTAACAACATCCTAGGTAAGTAAAGGATATAAACAAGAAACCCTCAAAAAATTATGTAGTATTTCACAAACTGTCAACTGCTTTCGTATGAAATATGTAAATCAAGTTGCACAGATTGAATGATAGAGAAAAATGTACCAAGCAAAGAAGAGGTGCCAGGATGCCACGGTCGTTTCAATCTGAGGGGAAACAATGATGGATACATTGGGAATGTTGTTAAAGGCTCGATTTCCCATAATGAAACCCGTGTCTGTCTCTCTCCTGCTGTTGATTCATCCCAACCGACCTATTTACAGCGGATAAAAAGAAAGTAAGAGCGATTCATAAAAATTTCTATTGAAATTGAACCATAAAAGAATTAAAATGTTGCATCTGTATCTTTTGGTACAATCACAAGTAGACCCAAAATAAAACAACCATATATGCAATTTTATCTATGATTTCAAAAATCATATACAAATATGGCAGTTAATTTTCTTCCCAGGGTTGGTTTAGATTTACAAATGATATAAAACAGAATATATTTGAAAACTAATTAGGACTTGAAGGTATAACTACAAAAATCCCAAAAGTTACAGTGATTGAAGGCATATGTATACATTATTACTAGTATCGAAAACCAGGCAACGCACAAATGGAAAATCGATGAAAGAATAGATTAGTTACGATTAATAATTTGCTATGCTTAGTTATTGAGCAACAACAACATTTAACACTAAATCACAATGTAGCATTAGGCACACATTGACAATGAGATATTAAAATACATTTATTTTTTGCAAAGGATATTTATGTAATTTCAACAATTAGCTTAAGAAGGCCAAATAAGACTACAGCAACAAATTTAATGGTTTGATAGAGAAAAATAAATATCAAATACTAGAGGATTATATTGCATTTGTCAAGCATGACAAACTATCTAGAAAAACCTTGCATTAGATATATTGCAGAAAAGTGGCAGTGAATATAGATAATGGTATCTAATCTTTCTAACACATTGCAGTGTGACCTTAACTTGCCTTAACAGAACGCCAATGAGAACTCGGCCACCGAACCGCATCCAGATCACTTATCCCAGTTATTGTACCCATGTACCTGCAAAACAAAAGCAATACATTGATTAAGTAAATGCAAAATAGTATGGTGCAGTACAAGTAATTTTCCTGCAGACACTTAATTCTTCAGTAAGTAGCTTCAGGAAAAATAGTATCTGATGTCTACGTGTACCTGCGGACACTTGATTCTTCAGTCTCGAAAAGCATCCTAAAGCGCATACCAACAGAAATACGTGTATGGTACACAGCTTTGATATATTTCGAAAGTGGTATGACAAACTCAGACGGACTAGCCCTGCCAATTACATAACTGTCAAAAGAAGCATTATAATTTCTTATAAAGGATTCATGTATGGAAATTCAGACAACATTGACAACCTTGGATTATAGAAGACAGTAAAACAGCTATTAGTTGCTGCAGCATGAGCAGCGGCTGCCAGAAGTCCAATGTGCATACTGTCGCTGGACAAAACTGATGATGGCATTACAGTTTGTGGTCTATTGGCTCGACGAATTCCCAAAAGAAGCTGATTCTTCTCGTCGATATTTCTGTTCCGAGGAACATAGGTTCGTGCGTCGATGACCTCGAATCAGTCAAAGTTTACAATGTCGACAACCTTAAAGAGGTAGTGGCTGCTAACAAAGAGGACAGACTAAGAAAAGCAATGGAAGCACAAGTGATCATCGGCGAAGAATCGGCCAACAGTGTTCAACAAGGACAATATATCCTAGGCCAAGTACAAAACACAACGATTTGAGATGTCTTAATGTAGACAGGAGAGAATGAGTAAATAAAATACGAATATTGAGCCAAGAAAGTCTGCTACTTAATTGGTCAAAATCACATTGCAAACGGAAGATTCGTTTTTTTCACATTGAAACATTTCACAAACTTCTAGTTGAAGCTAAATTATCGATGTGAGATGAGTCACCTAATCTACGGATAGTGTTCTCGAAACATGTCAAAATTCAGCAGGAAAAGAAAATTTCATAAGGAATGACATTTGATGAAAACTAGTAGCTAGCATGATTGTTAATAAAAAAATTGCGAGGCATCAACGCAGGGCAAATATTTCAACCGAGTAATACCGGTTAGTTAAATCAAACCAAAACTCGATCAAGATGTTTCACACCAGCTGAATGTCGTTCCTACCATCTGCAAGATTCAGTTTTTCCTCATAAAGCTTTATGAGATCAGAAGAATGCTCCTCAAAGCCTTTCACAAACTTCTCCACAAACAACTTCTCAGATACAACAAACGGCGTATACACGCCTGCATCCTTCCGTCGCAAGCCTTTCGAGATAAGAAACTGCACAACCGAAGCTCTAGGAATAATCCACTTCTCGAGACTGCATTGAAGAATTCCAGGAGCTCTGGCAAGGTCCAAAGAATCCAAACCTAGGTGGTGAACCCAAAAATCCATGATTGCATTGATTTTCCGAGGCGATACCAGCATACAGAAAGGATGCTTCTTAAATGTTTCAAGAATCTGTTCATCAGACAAGCCCCATTTCTTAAAGGTTTCAACTTTCTCATCCCACTGCGCTTTAGTGGCACTTCTCTTCGCGAGAAACGCCTTACTAAAAGCGGAAGTGGAGCCATCGAAACCGAGTTCTTTCAGTTCTTCAACAGTGTGCAACAAATCAAATGAGCAAATTATACTAGGCCACCAATGAAACAGCCTAGCAATATTAGAGTGAGAAACTCCATTATCAAGCAACAATTTGACATTTTCAGGCAGCCCACTTTGACAAAGAAAACAAAAACGTTTAACACAAGCAATGGTTTTTTTGTCAGATTGAAGAAACCCTTTTGCACATTGATATGCAGGAACTATATGATTCTCTAAGCTTCTTCTAAGAAGTCTAGGGCTTGAATTAACAATACGAACAATATCAGAGGAAGAAGCGCCTTTGGAAAGTAAAAATTGAAACTTTGGTAAAAGAACCTTGTTGGGGTCGCATGAGAGTAGCCAGGGTTCACGTCTGATGATGTCGCGGAGTTGGGAGATGGAGAAGCCGTGGGTAGTGAAGAAGGCGAGAATTGAATCGGGTTTTTAGGAGTTGGAGAGAGTGAGATTTTGGAAAGCTTTAGAAGCGGTTTCTGGGGAGAAGCCGCAGTTGTTGATGAGGTAAGAGACGGTGAAAGATTGTGGGTTAGTGGTGGAAATGGAGAAGAATTTGAAAAGGGTTTTTGGTATAGGAGAAGGAGAAGAAGATGGTGTTGTGAGTAGGAGGAAAATGTTTTTGTTTTTGGCGGTGAGTGGATGGGGGAAACCCAATTTTCTGAAAATGTGTTTTTTTTTTTTTTTTATCAATTAATTAATTAATTAATTATTATATATAAGATAGCGTTTTTTAATAAATGCTATTATATAGGTAGTCAAATAATAGCGTTTTATACAAAATGCTATCTTAAAGAAGTTTAATAATAGCGTTCTGGTACAAAGTGCTATCATAATTACATAGTCTGTATTATATAATAGCGCCCGATTAAAAAGTGCTATTATAAATGTGTTTTTTCCATTTTAATAGCATTTTTTTTAAAAGTGCTATTAAATTAGGTGATACAAAAAATCATTTTTGGCGTAGTGCACTCATAGAACCCGGTTACTTCTTAGGACAACTTAAGCCAACTAAACTTAAAGAGGGTACTTACCTACAAACTCCATGCAAGCCTGAACCTAAGGCCTTCTGTGCTTTGCTTGTGTTTTATTATCTGTTCAAACATGACATCCTAACATCATGACATCATACCATATCATTTTCACTAACCATTTCAAGGACCGAGGGGTTTATCTTTGTTCTTTGTTTTAGGTTATGACATATGTTCGTAGAAACACTATCTGGATCAACTTTATAAGGATACCTTCTCAACTTAAGGAGTTAGTCTCAAGGGTTCCCGATAGTTCTCAATTCACCAAAAGGCATGGTCGACTACTCAATTTGGTTACCTCGAGTTTCGAAGAAGACATGATGAGTGTTATGTTCTAGTTCTTTGACCCTGCACATCATTGTTTCACATTTCTAGATTATCAGTTGGTGCCCACAATATAAGAGTTCTCTAAGCTATTGGGAGTACCTATTCTTGATCAAACACCCTTCACCGGTCTAGAGAAAGTTCCAAAACCTGGGGATACTGCAGCAACTTTATATCTAAAGCGGTCTGACATTATATCTAATTCGTAAACAAGAAGTGGAGTCAAGGGCTTTCTTGCTAAATTTTTTATAGAGAAGGCTCAGCTGTTTCTGGATGCTATGAGTTTTCAGGTTTTCGAGTAGATCTTGGCTCTGTTGATCTATGTATTGGTACTATTCCATAATCCATACCAGCTCATAAATGTGAACGCCATCAAAATATGTATCGCTCGTAATCCTGTGCCCACTTTTCTTGGAGATACTTTACATTCTTTTCACACTCATTCTATGAGGAAGCGACAAACTCTTATGTGCTACATACCTTTATTATCCAGGTGGTTTATTTCGTTCCTTCCCTGATCAGTGATAAAGAATGAACAAGGGCTAAGGAGGTCTCAAAGGATAATGTCACTCTCTTATACAAACATCTATTGGTGTACCCGACCTTAGAAGGATATCACTATCATTGACCACTGTTGGGAATTCCCAAATGTTCCACACCTCAATATTAGGGGAGGCGTTACTTACAACCCTTATCTAGCTTTACGTCAATTTGGTTATGCTCAAAGAAAAGGTCCTCATGACATGCTTATCTAGGGTATTATATTCGATTACAAGAGTGATCCTCAAGGTTAACGTTAAAGGTTTATACATTCTTGAGGCATGGTGAACAAGATTAATTGCATGACTTTAGGACAAAAGAATTCCATCCCTTTGGATCCCTACCTCAAATGGGTACGAGCTCGTGCTCAAAACCTTATGATGCCATATCCTGATGTCCTACCAGTGATCATGGAGCTTGTTGTCGAAGGAGACGTTTCTCACACCATCCTTCATCCATACATGCCTATTGAACTTGAATAATTTAAGTCCTGGATTCAACTCAAGGAAGAATGGGACATATTTGAGAATCAATTCTATGCAAGTGAGAAGAAAGTGTTGGAGCTCACGAAGCTACTTCACGAGAAGCAGAGTATTAATGTATATGTCAACACAAAGAAGAGGCGTCCATGAGAAACTTGAAGCTTTAGGAGTTTTTAATTTATTCCTTTGAAGTCTTTTTTATTCAAATGAACTTACTAATAAAAATCTTGTTTCTGTTTCCTTTTGGTTAACAAATTTAAATCTCATAAGGTCCATGAAAACATTACATATACATATCATGCATCATTACATCACAGGTTTTCCAATACATGTTTTCTCATCATCCTTGCTGTTTATTTCAGTAAAAGATGGCTCTAGAGAAGACTTTGAAGGAAATCTAAGATCAGGACGCTCAATTACAAGAGACTCTCTTGAACTTAGCACGAGGACAGCAAGACATGATGACACTCATCGCCAAGAAAAAGAAGACTCAGAAGCCAGTTGCTCTCTTCAATATGGGGAGAAGATTCAATGGGACTACTCAACCAGTTCAACCTGCTGGTATCTCCTCTGATGAAGACGACAATCAAGAGGAGTATGGTAGAAGTATCATGGATGAGGGTGGAAATAACCAGAGTTCTGAGAAAATTTCTGAAGATGAAGACTATACTGATGAATAGTACCCTCATGTGCATGATAAGTACAAGCAATTGGAAGATCGTCTCAAGGCTATGGAAATATAGAAAGTGCCTGGACTGGATTTTGGAGAGCTAGGTCTGATCCCGGGGGTGGTCATCCCTCAAAATTTCAAGGTTCCCGTCTTTGCTAAATATGATGGTGTCTCTTGTCTGAAACTTCATCTGAGATCTTATGTGCGGAAGATCCAACCCCATACTGCCGACAAGAAGTTATGGGTTCACTCTATCGCACAGGTTTAAAAAAAATGAAATGCGACATAAGGAGAGATGTAGCATTAAATATTTGAGATTAAGCCATCAATTGACTTATCTCAACACAATGAAGTTGCCACCACACTTTATTATTTCCAAAGGGAAATGGGAAAAAAGCTAACAAAACCCACAATGAGATAAAAGATTAGAGATCGAGGTACGGGGGTCGATTATACAAAGGGAAGGTATTAGCACCCTAAGTATGTATGGTACTCCACAGGGTCCACTTTGTTTGTTTTAAATCAATGAGTGTTATGTAAAGGCTTACTTGCTAAAGGAAAATAATGAATGAGTATTTGTAAACAAAAGAAAATGTTTTTTTTATTATTTTTACTCGCTTTTGGTTGTAAGACTTAGTTCCCACATACTCCCTTGTGCAATGGGAAAGTCAGAGCACCATAGTTCGGCTAGAAAAGACTTGTCTGTTGATTGATTTTAAACGAAGAGACAAGTCATCATTTTTAGAAGAGAAATCTCGACTAACGCCCACAAGGTGTGGGAAAGATGGACCCTGCATCAACATGAGTGAGGGTTTGAGAATGCCTCTAGTACTCAAGGGGAAAAGTCGCCACATTTATAACCATGGGGATAGGAGAATGTTGCTCGACTATCAATGAATCATGTGTCATCTTGAAAAAAGTTTTGAAGCGTAAAGGTGCTCGAGCGCACAAAAGGGTTTGAATGAGTTAAAGTGTTTTTTTTTGTTAATTTTTAAGGATGTCAAAGTATGATTAAATGAATTGAAGTTTGTTTAAGGAAAAGAAGTTTTAAAAGAAAAGGTACTCGACGAAGTTGAGGTTTATCATGAAAGCGGTTCGAGTTTATAAATAAAGAAGCTTTTGAAAAAAGGTGAGAAGGTTTTGAAAATTAAAGAGTGGAAGAAACTGGAGAGAATATTCTATGTACAGGGGGTAAAAGATATGGTAAAAGGATCCGACCGAATAAGAAACCAGTACTTGACATGATAAAGTCAATACTGTGTTCCCATCCATTTAGGTTTAAAGCCACAGACAGATAAATAAGCTAAGAGTATACCAAACCTCTGGTGAAAGTAAATCACAAGTCGACGGCATCAAAAAACTCAGATGTAAGATAATACTCCAAGCATAGGATAAAGCATATCAAGTGAAAATAAATCACAGACGAGAAAAGCGTTTCAGGAGAGGAATCAGATAAAGCACAAAGGTGATGGAAAAAGCTCATGGTATCGGATAAGACTCGATATATCGAATAAGAATTCCTGCATCACATGAAATACACAGACAAATCCACAGCACAAAGATATAGTTTGAATGTCTCAAATAAGGCACAAAAATAAGCTACTGAACCGGAATGAAATGAATTGAAATCTGTAAAATAAGTCGGTCAATGAAATTTATACATCCACGTGTATTTGAGAAATAAACTAAGCTCAAAATTCGAAGTCGCAATACAACGATATTAAATAGGAAATAATACTTGAATTATTTACAAGCAAATCGAATAAAATATAAACCGAAAAAAAATTGCCTGTAATTATTATTTACATCAGTTACAAGACTAAAATGAAAAGAAAGAAATAAAGGAGTTGCAAATAAGTATATAGGTGGCAAGATTAATAATTTGGGCCAAGGAAAAGGCAATTTATAGCCCACTCCAAATCATTATTGTCACATATTTCTTAATTAACTAAAACAAAATATAACCAATAAAAAAACATACATTATTGGATGCCCAAACTTTATACTATTATTAAAACCAAATTGAAACTAAATTAAATTAAAAAAGAGAGAGAGAGGTGGGTTATCACATTGGTACTGCGTGCAAAATGGTAGAGGTGAAGTGTTGCAGTGATGGTGAGAAGTGGTGTGTGGACCGGCGGATGAAGGGGACGATTGATAGAGGATGGCGGAACGATGATGGTGATGGTGGTTAGGTGATGTAGCTGGATTGTTGGTTTGAAATTTCAGAGGAAGAAGGGCGGAGGAATAGAAGGGTGGTTCATGGTGGGTTACAGTGAAGGTTGTGGGAGTATTGATGGAATTGAGATGGGTGAAGATGTAAGGTGGAATTGATGGATTGAAGGGTTGTGTTGTTGATTGTGTGAAGAGGGAGCTAGAGAGTATGGTGTTGTGAAGAAACAAAGGCGGGGAATAATTGGCGCGTGAGTGGTTATGAGGGGACTAATGGAGTTAGGAGAGGAAGTATGTTGTTTGTGTTGTCTGGAAGTAATATGAGGAGGATGGAGGAAGGTTGGTGGAATTGGTGATGGTGTTGTTTGAGGAATTGAAGGGAGAAGGGAGTGGTAGCCGCGAAAGAAGGTTGTGAGGGAGGTGCTGGGTTGTTGACTAAAGAGAGGAGGGAGTTTGTGTTTGGTGTTGATTGTTTGTGTGAATTTTTTTTGAATAACCAGGTATTAAAAAAAAATCGCAAATAACCACGTTTCGGAAAAAATTACGCAAATAACCATGTTTCAGATGGCTCTCCAAAGGAGGAGCCATCTCACTTGGCGCCTCCACCAATATTTTTGCCCTAGGCTCCATCTCACTTGGCGCCTACTCTCTCTTTTAGCCAAGTGAGATGGCACATGCACTTTAAAAGTGAGAGGAGGCGCCATCTCACTTGGCTCCTAGGGCAAAATGCTGTTTTTATAAATAATTCGTCAGTTTCTCCGTCATTTCTTACACTTTATCGCACTGTGTTCTTATTTTTTACTCTGTTATTTGCGTCATGACATCGCCCATGATTTTTACCAGAGATGGTTACGTTATCTTCTCCGCCATAAAACCTGCAATGAAAATGAAATTCTAGCACATTCACTCGATGGAGCGTCTGAAGCGGGAGTTATTGCGATGGCTAGATGGAGACATCGTGGAGGGGGGAAAATTCAAAGGATCCAGCAAAGACGAAAAGAAACCTCACATGCGACAGGAAGACCTAATGTTTGGTTGGAGGAAGTCAAAACAGACAACGACGTAATGTTGATGATGCATGGGTCAGATGATATTGTTTTAACAGTTGTAATTTTGTAGACGGAATATCGTGTTTTTTTTCTTGTACGCGCAATGTTTATTGTAGCAAATACTGTTAACAAAAAACCCTAATGTTTACAACATAATTAAGGAAAGATTTTATGTAATACAATTTTTATGTGGTCGAGGCAGACCCCTGATTCAGATAATTTTTGTGATTGTGTCTGACCTGACGGCATAAACCACACTTTCTTTCCAGCTTGTCAAGGGAGTCCATTTCGGTTGTGATGCGCTTACTTTTGGGATGACCCCTTTTGTTCCTTCGCATTTGGTCATTGTTCCATACTATTTCACCGTTATATGCACACCAATAATCTGGTTTTGCTACCAAATGGAAGCTGTTGTTGTAAATGTTGAGCAACATTTCAGATTTGTAAATGTGTGACAGAAGTTGTAGCGCGTCTTGATGGGTATAAGCACACGCGAAAATGACATGAGAGCAAGGCATACGAAAGGCTTGAAACTTGCCACAATCGCACCAACGAGAAGGTAGTACAACCCTATATTCTTGTCTTGGCAGGCCCTTGTTGTGGTTGATTGTCTCTTTCACAATGAAGTTGTGACTGTGTCGGTCAAACCGTATAACCATATGGGTGTTGGATTTGGAACTTTCTGCCTTAATGTACTTCATGCAGCTTTCACTCCATAGTTGTCCAGATTGCAACACCGTATTCCATATTTCACCTCTTTTGGCAAACAACGAAGCCATCCTAAAATACGTAGATTTTACCAAAGCAGTGACCGGGAGGTTTCATATGCCTTTGAATACCCCATTCATCGATTCAATTAGATTTGTTGTCATGTGCCCCCATCTTTGGCCATTGTCGTATGACCTAGTCCATTTTTCGACCGGAATATTATCGATCCACCTACCGGCATCCGGATTTGACCAATGAATCTCGTTGCGGTTATATTTAAATGTGGGTTGTGTCAATGCATATCCTGCATTCATAACCGCTTTCCTTAGTG